CACACACACACACACACACACACACACACACACACACACACACACACGCAAAGCCGAGACGGTAAGCAGGGGAATGTATGCAGGTGGTGGAATTGAAACAAAGGCTAAAATGTAGTTGACAAAGGAAAATAAGGAAAGCTGACCACCCACATTTGAAAAAGCATTATTTGGAAGAACAAAGTGCTTCTAAGTTGAAGATGCATAAGTTATTAATGAACGGTACCCTCCTTTTGTCCCCCAAATCCCGATGGAGAGCAGACAGAAGGACTGTCACTATGAATCAAGCTCAGCTGAAACGTGCCACTGCTGGTCCAGCCATTTACAGGGCCCATTCACCCCAGAACCATTTGCATCCTGAACACTCAGAAAGCTGAACAATAAAACCTCCCAAACGTCTTCATGTGCAACAGGAAGCTCCGAAGCCCAGATGGTACCTTTCATTACCCTGGAGCCTGATGGACAACAGGGAGGGCGCAGTTCAAGGCATTGGTTCGATTTACCTCGATTAACAATAAAACACTACTTACACACTCTACTGCTGTACAGAGAGCTGTAAGCAATGAGGGCCAGTCATAATTTATGGTGGAAGAGGCATAAAACAATTATACATAAAATACTGTTTGAGTAAACTGGGCATCAAGGTGAAAACATAGATTGACTTGATAAATAGCAAGTTTGATTTTGTTAAAGGTCAGGCTCGATTTAAAAAACAGATCATGCCATTAAAAAATGAAAGAAGTGAAAGCAGACATAGAGAATGGACGTGCAAGATCGGGATTGACATATGTGCACTGCCATGTATAAAACAAATAGCTAGTGAGAACCTTCTGTATAGCGCAGGGAGCTCAGCTCGGTGCCCTGTGGTGACCTAGATGGGCAGGATGGGGTCGCGGGGGTGGGGGGTGGTGGTGGAAGGCAGGTCCAAGAGGGGGGGATATGGGGATATATGTATATGTATAGCTAATTCACTTCGTTATACAGCAGAAACTAACACAACATTGTAAAGCAACTATACCCCAATTTAAAAAATAAAAAAGATTAAAAAATAGGGAACTCTGGCCAAAAAAAAAAAAAAAAAAGTAAGGAAACCAAAGAGTTCTAGAACTGGATAACAGTTTAGGAAACAAAGACAACATGGAGTTTATAATAAGAGGCACCATGTGACCAAACTTTAACCGTTTCGTATTGTGCTAAGATTTCAGGCATACCTCTCAATATTCAGTTAAGAGTTGAAACCCAATGTGAAATTAAGTAGGCATTGCATTACACTCTCAGAAAAAAAAAAAAAAAACCTAGGAAAACCAAGACATTTCGAGCTTATAGTAAGCCAAGGAGTTACATTAAGCAAAGTGTGGGTTTTAGCTCACTTACCTGCTTGGAGTTACTGTTCACAAAGAAATCCTACAGCCATGGCAGAGGCATGGAAAAGGCAAATCAGATACATGCAGTTCAGAAATCACAGCAACCAATGGGGGAAGGTCAAGGAAATCAGTGACAGGGTAAGAGATGATTTTATGCTCCCAGGAGCAGCAATGAGAGTTGATGAAGATGAGAGTCTGGCTGAAGATACATTGAAGAGCAGGGTACTAAGCGTTCAGGGTAAAGAGAGAAGATGGCATGTGCTGTACACAATTTTCAATGGTGGCAAATCAAATTCAGAAACGAAAGGGCTTTAAAACACCCCCAAAAGACTCAAAGTGGTGAAGGAACAAATCCTCTTTGAAAGGACCACTGGGCTCCACGTATTCAACATGAAGCAGATTTCACGGTTTTCCCTTGAAGCAGAAAATATCAATCAACTCTATCAACCTGAGGGAACTACTCCCATTGTCATGTGCTACCAGCAAAATATGCTTTTTTGACGGGATGGAATAATCTCCTATCTTCTTGTGTCACTAGGAAGGATTAAGAAAAGAAAAAAGACAAGTTCAACAATATAGGTCAGTAAAACCAACACTCAGTACTCCCCAAGAGTCCAAACAATGTCTGTGGGCGCTCTGGGTAGGTATGCGGAAAAAGACAGAACTTGCAATTAAGAGACAATAAGTGATTCATGTGCTGTGCAGCCATTGGTGGTCCTGTCCACACTGCCTTGGGGCTGTTCATGCGTATAAGGTCAACAGCCTCTGTTGAAAATAGTTCATAGAAAAGACCTGGAGTGAAGAAGGGAAAGAGGAAGCAGTAATTGACACGTTATGAGAAAGTCACAGCTTTCTTTGCATATTTTTGCCGTGATGGCATGAATAAAGCTTCGGTGTGCAAAACACACCCCAGTTTTTGGGCCAACTACTTACACAATCAGCGTTTACTTAGCAGATTCCTTAAGGCCTCACTGGTCCCGGCAGCACTGCCAAGGCCAATTTTACACAGATGAGCTGTTTCACATCATTCTTCGAATGGGAAACAAAATGTATCCTCCCCTTGCTCCACCCATACAAGGGGGGATTACTTTTCTGGAATGGCGTTTAAAAAATAAAGTGATAACCACATGAAACTTTTCTTTCCTCTGATGTCACAGTTTTCTTTTGTCCCTGTTGTAACTGTCAAGTTTTTTACACTGAAAATCCTTAGCACTCTTTCCCTGTAACAGCAGTTTCTCCTTTCAAGGGCAGAAAAAACTGGTGAAGTGAACTCCATGAGGTCATCTTATCCTACTTTTCTCTCTTAAAGAGACAAGTTGCAAGTTGAATTTAGACCCTGCTCTCCCTGTCTGGCCTTCAAGGAAGAAACTTGTATGAAGGTGTCTGGCAACTCATTCTCCCTAAGTTCCCACTGTCTGGAAATTAATCTCTACTGTAGTGGCCTATGGAACCAGGCCACAAGCATTTACTAAGGATGTGACTTGGGGCTCAGTTTCACTATCTGTAAAATGAAGTAAACAACTGGATATTTACTGTATTAAATGTGATATGCATGTAAAGCATTTTGTACAGTACCTGTCACATATTTATGAGCTCCATACTTGGAAGCTATCACACACTACAATTATTCTATCTTTCAAGCCAATGATCAAGTCCATTTTTTTGCCTATTGCCCTACTTTTCAGTTGAGTTGAAGCACAGCTGGTCAAGATCTCCCACTTGTAACCAGCAGCAGCACTAAGTGTAACAGTTAATAGCTAAGTAATGTATCTTATCTTTTGAGAGGTGAGGATGAAGAATGCCATATGAGAGTTAGGTTAATTGGAGATCTTGAGAATCCCCTATTTTAAGAGTCCTTTAATCATCACATTTAAAATAAAATCACAAAGCTTATTAGATGGGGAATGTTAAAAATACTGATGCTCCCAGGACTATTTCAAATAAGTTAACATTCTTTTTGAAACTTTAAATTATTCACTAATTGGCTTGGGCCAAACATGATAGAATTGCCTACATTTGGCTCCACCTAACAGGATGTCTGATTTTTCCAGTTGATTTTTGGTGTAGGGCTTAGGGTTTGGAAAATAAGTAGGAAGTTGGGGCTTGCATTTTCAGGAGCCAGTGCTGATAAGTTCCTATAAATAGGGTTTCACCATGAAATAACGACTCGACATTTCATAGACAATGACAACCTTTATATGGATGGTTCTTAATCTTTTTGAGGTTGAGATCCCATTGTAAATCTGATAAAAGCTGGAGATCCCTCTCCAGAGAAATGCACACACACTAATATTTATATAAAACCCTGTATTTGATTAACTATTACCATGTTGTCCAGCTATATAGAACCTGTACCTTATACTTTGGTACTAAGAAAAACCACTATTTACAATTTTTATCTCCTGTCTTCATATGCCATGACTAAGGACAAAGCTTGTTGAAATCAATGTCCTAAATCACATAATTTTTCAATGTAAAACCTAGATATACAGAATAACAAAAAACATAAAGAAAATAAAAAAAGAAATTTCTTTGGCCATTCATAAAAATTCAGAAGATACCACTGACTATACCAAATGGGACCCCAAGAATGACTTGTATATGACATGTTAGTGGAGGGTTGGATTCTGGAGCCTAGGATAGTTATCCTTTGTAACTATTCAAAGCAGAGAGGCTTTGAAATGTTATATCACGTTCTGATAATAGGACCTAGAAAGAAGGGGTGTCCCCAGGCAAAGAGTGGGGAAGAGGAATGGAGATAACCAGCTGTTCATTTGTTGCTCCAGAGATATGTGTGCCTTTAGGTCAATGTAGTACCTTTAGCTCATTTTCTCTCTGTCCAAATTGCATGAATAGGGAGAATGAATTTATAACATCTTGAGATGAAAATTTCCCACAAAACAAATATGAATGTTGTTTAATTGTAACTGAGATAGTACTACTATGCAATGTGCTACATTATGTATTAAAATAAGTCTCTTGTGGCTGGCCTAGAGATCATGTATAGTACAGTTTCAATGAGGAAAAGAGGTTCTGAGATTCAAGACATTGACTTTCAAATGAACTTTTGTAATGTGAGCAGGGGAATAACTGTATGCTATTAAATTCCATTTCATGTGGCACATAAGCTTACATAATTGGCTCACACCTTTGATATCCACACTGGAAAAAAAAAAGAATCCTGAATAGAAATGATCTTGTTCTTAAAACTGGAGTTAAAGAAAATCCTTTACAAAGTCTAACCTTCATAATCAATAAAGCCATCAATAAGAACAAAGTGAAACTGAGAATTATGCCACTTGTACACCTGTCTGGACACTGAATACATACTGAGCCAGATTTTTATTATCTGTGACATAGGAATAATACTCACCTCAAAGAGTTGGTGTGAAGATTAAATGAACAAACAAGTATCAGTTCCTTGAGAACTAAAAGTTAGGGTTGATGAGATTGGGGCTGTATATATTATATTCAGCACCAAAAATGTAATGGATACTTAATATTGATTATCATCTTTTAGTCTATATTCTGGTTATTTACAGATTTTCCTCATCTCTGCTTTTATAGTATAAGCTGCATTAGAGACATGTGCAATAGTTTAACACATTTGTGTCCTTTGACATACTTTATATGCAAAGCAGACAATAAAAATATCTGTTGTTTTTAATGATTCAATATTTCTCATATCAACAGGGCACATCTTGTGTGTGTGTGTGTACATTTACTCATATCAAACCTCTCCTACATGTCATTAATCAGTGTTCACCTAAATTATACTAATCTGAAGCTTGAAATTTTTTTCAAAATCTTACTCTGTGTAGTGTTCCTGTTGCATGCACACAGACAATGGTATTCATGGGTTCTTTGTCTCTCTGAGAAATTTACTTGGCCACACAACTGGCTGAAATCCAGACAGTTTGACCAGGGTTTTATAACTCTGGAGGGAAGAAAGAGGAGAAATCATTGAAAAAAAGGGTTCCCGGTATTCATTTGGGAGTAGAAAAGAGAGCAATTCAAGTGTAACAATAATTATATAGAGCATTGCCAAGACTAAAATGAAAATGCATAGGTCTTGACGTTGCCATTAGTTATGAGACATGGGGACACAATGACAGGCACCCGTTTCCTTTAGTCTATCCTATGTGTTCCTACTAGTCTGTCTTCATCTTTCGATTTTCTGTCTCTCAACATTCAATAAATTCAATGGAATGGCTCAAATTACCTTCATTTGGGAAACACCTTTATGGTTTAAAAATTCTCAGCTCATGTTCTTACACCAAGAGGGGAGACCTACTTGAGTCAAGCCGAGTGGGTGTGCTGAAATTTTTCTCCGGGAAGTACTACTGCAAATGTCACAAATGATTCTACTTAACCAGTCTACTACTTAGTGTTAAGTGCAACCGAAATGTTCTGGTTTATCCTGACTGGCATGACTACTGATTATTTAAACAGCAATTGGTTGCTAGGAGACAATTACCCAATTGCTAGGCTTTCTGCAACCCTGTCTCCTGGAGCTCTTGAGAACTGTCCACATATTTGTCCCAGAGCATTTTGGCAGCATCCTTCTGCACCTTCTGCTGAAAGCCAGTTAATTATGAGTCTTGTAAACTTGGGTCTTTCAACCATCTGCCTTCATAATAAATGCAACCCACGAGCTCAGACTTGAATAGCATCATTTGGAATAACTGCTGTTTTTCTCTTCCTTTTATTTACTTCTCTAAGTTCCCAAACCTTCATCTTAGGCAACTAGAATGGACCAGTATTAGTGACTGAAACTGAAGTAGGAAATCAGCAGGACGTGTAATTAGGTCAGAAGATTATTTGAATCTACCAGGAAACTGGCTATGTCCTAATGTCCTACTTCATGTTAAGGCCCAGAGGAAACTATCGTGGGACGGGACAGAGAGGAGGCCTGTTGTGGCCATTCAGGAATGAATCTGGTCCAAGTACCTGCCATACAAGAGCTCTCAACACATCTTTTGTTTGTCCCCTGAAAGATAAAGTATCTTGCTTTCAACTGGACAACGTCCTATCTTCTTTTTCTTCATTTTCCTTTATTTGGCATTTATGATATTGTACAAGTTTGCTGTCATACTTTTGGGAGGGGTCCCAGCTGAGTGCTCCTATCTTACAGTCATTCTGCCATGGCAGGCAACCACCTGCATTTTTGTACTTTATTAAAATAGCATTAAGGGCACTGCAGAGAAATATTCTCTCACTTAAGGGAAAATATTCTGGCTAAAAGATGTACTACTTTTTCTTTTCAATTTTAGTTGCATCAAAGGCCATTTTGAAAAAGAAAACCCTCAGCTGTTTTTTCTCCCCAGCCTCAGTCCATCTTCTCCCTTGGTGCTTGGCAGTTCTGTTCTGAGACACTCTTTCTTGGGAACCAAGCCAAGCCTAAGCAGACTAGGAAGTCTGCTGCTTGTCTGAGGATGCTCCACCCTGGGAATGATTCACACGGGAGTTAAGGGCCTCCCAGCAAAACCCAAGGAAAGCCCCTACGCAGATGCCTGGCATCTGCCTGTTCCTGTTCCTTAAGACACCCTCTGCTCTCATCATTTCTCTCCCTCAGTCACCCTTTGAACTTTTCTCCTTACACTCTGAGACTCACTTTTTCCCTCCCAGACTTCCGATTGACTGTTGAAGACCTCAATCCACCTCTTGCTTGTACTTCTGAGACTCTCTGTACCAAGCCACTTTGCTGTGAACTCTACTAAGATGCCCTCTCGAGGGGTGAGAGGTACCGCACAGATGTGACCAAGCTCACTAAGTGACGTTGACTACTTGGCCAGGTTAGTAAGCACCAAATCAAACTGCATGTTCTCATACTATCATGTTGCTCACTTTTCAGAAGCTCCTTGGGTCCTATTTGTTCCACTGTCATCCCCACACTTGCTCAGCCTTCACAGCCCCACTTCTGAGTCGATCATGTTCAGGACAGAGCAAAAACTTCTCTCTAGGTTCTATCTAGCTGCCAACTTATAGTCATTTACCAACCCCCATACTTCAAAAGGTTCCATTTATTTCAAATAAGCAGTCCACTTCTGATAATAACCATTTGAGATATAAATATTATAACTAAAATAGCTTCAGAAACAAACACTGTGGGGTGACACTACAAGTTAGGTAACTCTCCTACTATTTTCCCCTGGTGGCCCCTCTGACTAAGCACAAGTGACAATAAGATACAGAGCTCCTTCCACCAATGGAGACGGTGTTGTGGAAAGACACCAGAGCATGAAGCTCCCTAACAAGGAGCTTGTATACCTTCAACATGTACACACACATGCGCGCGCGCACACACACACACACATAAACTGACAGGAACCTAAACACACATGCAGACCCACACTCCATGCTGTTTGCAGGAACATAATAGGCTAGACCAAACAGCCTAGAATTAAGATGCCTAACATATCATGGTTATGGCAGATGGCCCAGGGATCATGCACAAGAACATGACTCCTTAATTATTTTAGCATCTGGAGGGCACATGCTCTTACCTGCTGTCTTTGGTAAGCAGAGAAAGTTCTTTCTAGGTCTTCAAGATCTAGAACTTTGAAGACTTTTGTATCATCAATTTCGGTCCACACTGTTCCTTCCAGTTTGTTCTGCAAACATAAGTTAAGAAGCGCTGGGGTTTATAGTTAGACACAAAAAGAATAGATGTAGTTATTTTTTTTACAAAGTGCTGCTATCCCCAATTTTTCACTCTACCGGATGCTCAGAATGAGCTGGCTTCAAAAATCGGGTCCCTTGTTTCAGAAGCTTTATCACTTGAATATCTGAGCTAGTGAGAATCCTGAATCCACACTAGGAAATGAAATCACTGGACAGCCAGGGTGGCCCGATCAGAGACAACACAGTGCACTGCTAGTGCTATCCGTTAGAGGGAAAGTTGGAACAAATGGCTCACCTCAGGCAGCTTAGACCAGTTGAAGGATTTCAGGGCGTTTGCGGGCTGAGGAATGTTCTTCTTCTTGAGTGCCAGACCCAGGGGGGCACCAGGAGGTGGCATGACTCCTCCCAAGGGAGGAGGCCCTGGGGGAGGGGGAGGGCCCCCTGGGGGGAGGGGAGGGGGTGGAGGAGGAAGCGCTCCACCGGGCAGAGGTGGGGGTGGTGGGGGAGGGAGGAGGGGTCCGGGCACAGAGGAAGGAAAGGGCCCCCCGGGGGCTCCAGGCGATGCTCCACCGGGGAGTGAAGCGCAGACGGCCCTCTGAAAAATAAAAATAGGAAAAGAGGAGATGAACAGAAGAAGTAAATTCACTGGATGATTTTTAGGGTCTGAAACTTTGCCTAACATGTGTATTATGGAGAAATTCACACATCTGAGAATGTGGGCTTAAAGGCGCAGTAAGTTGAGTGGCCTCGTGTGTGACACTCTAGGGCTCGTTTGCAAAGGGCTCACGTGTCTCTCACTTCTGGTACCATCCTCCAGTTTGGTTTTCATGAAATCAGTTTTCATGTTAAGAAGCTAATGTGATTTCCTTGCTCTTGTGAGAGTATCTGTATTGGAGAACAAATGCACACCTCCAACCACCTCTGCTAACGAGCACGGTAAGCAGAGCGAACAGGTTGCACCACCACCGTGATGGGTCAGGAGACGGTTCAGGCTCTATTGCCCCCAGCAGAGCTGTCTACTTAAGGATGGGGGCTCTGGGATAAGGAGGCCTCAGCAGCTGCCAGCCATGGGAGACCCAGCCTGGGGCCCGTGAGCTCACCCTGCTGAGCTCGTGGAGCTGGGCCGTGAGGTCTGCCACCTGCTGCTTCACTTGCTTGTGCTCAGTGGTCTCCTTTTCAAGTTTCTCTTTCATTTTATTCAAGGTCTGCATCATCTCTTCCTTCTCCTGGGTCTTGGCATCGCATTCTCGCTCTTTCTTTTCCAGTTTCTGTTGTAACTCATTGTGCTCTACACATGAAAACAACTGGACATGAAAACGGTGAACTCTTCAAAGCTGAAGCATTTTCTCTAAACAGAAGATCGATTGAGGGTGATTGTGAGGCTCTTTATTATGATATATAAAATCATTCCTCTTCTCCATCAAAGGGAGCAACTCATGGGCTCAATGGTGCTCGCGCTTGGAGGGGGCTTCAGATGAACAACTTTATCAACTACATTCTGTAAAAGGCTGAAGAGGCCCTCCGGTCACAGTTCCAAAGATGGAACACAGGCGTGAGCAACTATTTGTGGAGGTGAATGGTGCCTGCTTGGTATTTAATTTAGAATCCTGTCCTAGAAATGGCCCTTTAGTCACACTAGGGAAAATGACTATTAACAGGGCCTCTTTTCACAAGTTAGAAATGAGAACTAGACAAGTCCAGTGTTCATTAGCTGGGTTTGTTGGCTCAGGTCCCACTAGCAGAGGGGCTGAAAGGGAGGATCCTGCCCTGGGAGGAAGTGCTGCTGCCGGACCCAGGGTTTGTCCCAGTGTGGAGTCATTGCTCCCACTGCCCTCGGAGGGCCCCTTGGACTTGAAGTGTTTTATGGCTGGCAAACAATTATTAAAACTTGCGAAAGCAAATGTTATTATCTCATCATTAAACACCTTAAGGGTTTTAAGTTAAGTAGTACCTGCTGAGCATGAGAATCACGATAATACGCGGAGAAAAATATTAGCTCTCAGCTGTAGTTGCACTCACTCCCCCAATCCCGCGATAACGGAACAAGGCATCCCGTTTAGCATAACGCTTACTTATGTTGCCAACACACCTCCTGACTCCAGCACTTACAGGAGTAATACTCTTTGGAAAAGAGGACTAATGAAGTTTAGCCTGCAGATTTTCGTTTCAAATACTTGGCCCCAATCCCTAGTCTTTTTATACCAATAAACCCACTAGAGATAGAACCTACTGGGGCAGAGCTATACAGAGCTGGTCTCTATTTCTGAATTTGATAACATTTAAATTCTTGCTTTCTCTGTCTTTTACTTTCTCTCTTCTTAGTTCTCTAAAATCAGAGTTTGCAGAGAAGGGTTCAAGTCGCTAAAATCCTTGGATTTTACCAGCCTTGGAGTTTACCAGCCTTGAAGTTAAGATAACCGCCAACCCGCTTCTACCACTCTGTGGATGCTTCCCTGACTTCTTCAGCGACATCTAAAAACTACCCCACTGCATCCCACTTTCCTTCTTCTATCTCTGTTTCATTCCTCTTTGACAATGTAAGACCTGACTTCCTATTATCGGTCATTAGCCTTTGACAAATCTGGCCAAGCCTCAGAACCACCTGAGAGATTTTGACATTTCAGGACTCACAGACCACATTCCAGGGAGTCTGTTCTATAGATCAGGGGCAGGGCTTAGGAACCTGTGGTTTTCAAATGCTCCTTAGAGGATTCTGATAAAGTGCCCGGTATGGGAAGCTCCAGCCTAAAGGATTATCTCCACAAATAGTCTCCATTTGCTAAGCTTTTATTCAGTACTTACTGGGTATCCGGCGCTACAGAGAATTCTCCCCAGATATTCTCCACCTTTCAGGTCCATAGTACTTCCTGTCTCCTCACAGCCTCCACCCTCTGAGAAATTCATCAACAGGTACCCTATTTAATAGAACTTTGCTACTTGACACTTCCAGAGAAGAATGAATTTTACCGACAATATCTCCTTTTTTGCACTCTATGCATGACCTCACTTTAAACCATCCTATTCCTCCAGCTGATCTGGGCCATTTCCTCTTGTACCCCTCAACTGCCTAAATGCTACAAAACTTTCTACCATTTACTAGGCAGCTAATAAATGCCAGGTACTATGCTAAAGTCCTAATATTTGTCATTTACTCTTCACAACAACCCTGTGAGTTAGATGTAATCTTCACTTTGCAGAGGCAAAGACTGGAGGGGTAAAGGACATGACTTAGCCTACCCACACAGTCAGTCAGGGGCAGAGCTGAGACCCAGACCCAGAGCCCAGCACCGTGCCTGCCCCGTGCAGCCATTCAGTACATACCCACTGCATGAAGGACTGAAATGACTCCAAAGCTTATGTCCTAAGTACTCTCTTCAACTTGCACACCTGAGTCTCCATGCTCTAGGGTATATCCCTAAAGTACCACTCACTGACCATCTTCTCGGGTATAATTCTCTCTTTACCCTAACTTGTTGTCAGTGTCTCTATTCTTTCTATAGCAGTTTCTGGAATTAATTTATAAAAATGTATGTGCAACCTCACTTATTTGAGACCTATCTGAATTCATATGAGGAACCCACAATATAACAGAACTTCATATTCGGTATTTTCCGATATCAGTGGTGAGCCTGCTTTTCTGCTCAATGGACAAAACGTGATGAGAGGAAAGGAAATGCTTCAGCATCTCTTGGACCATATTTTCAACACACTGAATACTATGGTGAGTGCTACTGTATGTCACTGGCTGTGAATGAGTCACTTGGACAGGGAAAAGGAAGTCAGTTAACCAGCATAGTGAAAGAGTAGTGGCCGGGAGTATGACTGTTTTCTCAAAGGGTCCAACTTTAATTTGCTAATATTTTGAAGGAGGGGAAGAGTTATACTTATTCTGTGAGTGGTTTGGCATGGTGACAGGCACAAATGACCGCCCCCCCCCACCAAGTCATTTGATGCTGAGAGTTGATAGCAAAGACATATTGAGATACTCACCAATGGCTGGTCTGTTAATGTTTCACAACATGTACATCTCTAATGGTCAGGGATTTTCTGCATGATTTCTCTTTTTATAACTGGTGCCAAATTAAGGTCACGTGGAGAAATGGGCTGCTGAAACCAAGTTGCCTGTGCTTCTCTTTCAAAATTCTGGGTAATCCCTGGTGTCCCTGATTATAGTTCTTAAAATCTAGTGTACTTTAAAGAGCAGTTATGGGGAAGGCTGGGATGAACGGTAGTTAAGAAAATTTGAATCAATGAATATTGAACAGTAAATGCTTCAAAAATGCTTCCAAAAATGAACGGTGGTTTAGAAAATTTGAATTAATGAACATTGAACAGTGAATGCTTCAAAAAATGATTATAATGAAAGGATAAAATATTTGGGAATCAACATGACAACTAAGATAGTCTGATTCAAGAAAAACCAGGCAAAATGCCCTGAAAACATGGGGGAGGGGAAAGGCTGTTTATACACCAAAGTCAATGAGAAGCATTAATGCAAATTTCTAAAATATACAGTAAGGAGAGTTGTCCAATAACCAGTAACATGACCTCTTCTCTTGTCAGGACCTCATCATTTACCTTTTCTCATTTTTTCTGCTTGTTCTTTCCACTGCTTAACTTCATTTTCATTAACCAACCTGTATGATAGTTAAAGGAGCATTCATTACAAAAAGCGTAAAAGGCCCACTGCTAAATGCATGCTCTCTAGGTAGAAAAACTGTTTAATGCAGAGAAAGTCCTCAGCATGCCTGAAACCCATTTTAAACCCAGATGTTACATATATATGTATTACATGTATACATATAGGAACTCATATCTGACCTCTAGAACATTTCAGTTCTCCCAGCTGCTATTTTGAAGTAGGATAATACAAATGTCTTATACTGGTGCTATTATCTCAAGGGTAGCAAAATAAGAAGAAACTTACATCCGTACGACATTTTTAATATTAAAGTTTTCCAAGGGCGTGGAGTCAGGGTCCTGACCTTTGTCATTCTGGATAACTATTTGCTGTATAATTCTATCTAGGAGTAGCCAGTACTGAACGGTGTTGCCACTTCTCTTGTCTAAAAAAGAAAAGAACAGTGGAGATACTTCAACTGGTTTCAAAACTTGAACGAATATCTTTCAACAGTGGTCACCCGCCAGAGCCACAAAACCAGACAGATGTTTACAACCCTTCCCAACGTTTCTGGAATTCTGACACACGATGACCATTTACGTGATTGAGAGGCACTTTCTGCCCCCTTCTAAATGTGTTGTAAGGCATATATTTATTTTTAAAATCAAAGCGAGTTATAATTCATTTCATTTTGAGAACTTCACAACACCCCTTAAGCTGTGCAGAGACACACTGGGCTGTCACAAAACTAAGGTTTGGAATCCCTGGTGTGCACCCAACCTAAGCCACACTGTTCAGAAGACAGAGCCCTTTGGATGATGTCCAAACATTCACAAACACATGCGTTAAGTCACAAACACACTCACAAGGCATTTGGAGGCAGTGGTGCAGGATGGACATGAAGTGAGGGTAAGCTTCACTGTGGGTCAGCCTCTTCCTGGTCAGCTCAAACATCTGAGTAGCACTTTTTGTGTCTATGTGAACCTGTTTCATATGAAAAAGAAATCTAAGTCAAACATCCAAGTTCTTCAATTCCTGCAAGGTAAGGTAAGCAATTACAAGGCAAATAGAAGCTAATCCTGCCACTTAGATAGCAAAACAGAAATCTGACTTTGCTCTTAGGTTACATGTCATCTCTATGACACACATTACAACAGGGACATTTGTGAGCTGCTGAGTCAAATTAGAATAATTGTAAGCACATGTACCAGTTCAAATCTTTTGGCAAATTCTAGTTCATCTTCATTTCGGAGCATTTCAAAAAAATCTAAATGCCTGAAAGACAATTAAAGAAAAGCTATTAAAAGTTGAACATCCTACAAACACAGGCACATAGGAATCAGGACATAAATACTAAGGCCTTTCCTAAAATTTCAGAGATAGCTCTAAAAGAAGTACGACAACAAAATTTGAATGCCTTCTCTTAACTATGTTCTAAGGAAAGAAGACATCATCTGACTGAAATGAGATCACTACAAGAGACAAATCTGAAAGCCTAGGATGCGCAGCACATAGAAGATAATTCATGAAAGTTTATCAAATCCAAACACAACCAAATCCAGATTCTACTCATGGAATCTCTTTATGGAAAAACAAGCCCATATAACTAACTTGACTGACCACTGAATTAAAGATTACAAAAGAAATGTTCATGCCTTTCACTTATTCATTCAAATACTTATTGAGCCCCTATTATTGACTGGGGAATGATAAGTTCTGTGAAGACAAATCCAACAGCATAAAGGGGGTAGAGAATGATGGGAGGTGAGGTGAGGTGAAGAATATGAACACAGTGGCTGGAAAAGGTCTCTGCATGGGAAAAAGGGAAAAAGCGATTTGGACATCTGTGGGAAGATCTTTTAATGCTGAGGAAATAGCAGGTGCAAAGGCCCTGAGGCAAGTGTATTTTGACATGTGCATAGACTATCAAGGAAAAAAGCATGGTGGAGTGTGTGAATGAGGGAGAAGTGTGGTAGAAGGAAAGATCTGAAAGGTGGTAGGATATGTTAGAAATCGTAAAATGACTGCAGACAAGAGCAAATGAACAGGAAAGTGGAAATTAACATTCACAGAATGTCTATCAAAGGTGCCATGTGATTCCACATGTTTTATAGTCAGCTTTCATAACAGCTCTGCAGAATAGTGTTATCATCATCATCACTATTTCTTTACATATAAAAACAGTAAGGGGGCTTCCCTGGTGGCGCAGTGGTTGAGAGTCCGCCTGCCGATGCAGGGGACACGGGTTCGTGCCCTGGTCTGGGAAGATCCCACATGCCGCGGAGCGGCTAGGCCTGTGAGCCATGGCTGCTGAGCCTGCACGTCCGGAGCCTGTGCTCCGCAACAGGAGAGGCCACAACAGTGAGAGGCCCACATACCGCAAAAAAAAAAAAAAAAAAAAAAAAAACCCAAAAACCCAGTGAGGTTCAGAAAAATTGAGTAACTTGACCAGAACACACAGCAGGTAAGCGGCAGGACTGGGATACGGATTCAAGCCTAATGCCAAAACCTACACTAAGTTCTCTACACAAGTGCTGCTTCTTTCATCGAGAAAATCTTACTATAAAAACATCATTACCTGGTCTAACATTTTGGTACAAGTTCCTTAGGTCACAAGTAGTTCACAGACTGGCACTATACACAAGGAAAACACACAAACTATCTCATAATAGTGTGACTTACCTATCTAATGTTGAATTTTCATGTTCCCTTAATTTATCTATTACAGGTTGAATTCCCAACATCAGAAATTCATAGCGAAGATGAAGTCTAAAGTCCAAACTTTCCTGAAAGTAAAAGGGTGATGGAATACATTTTTAAGCTCTTTAGACTACACAGTTGGTAATCTTTTTTTAAAAATTATTCTTTAATAATATATGTTTTAAATTGTGGTACAGAGGCTCTTACCACTCCTGCGCCTTGGCTTAGCACTGCATTGATGAAGGACATGATGGCAGTCTTGAGACTCACTTCATCTCGATACCGCCCCGTGCTTTTATCCAAGTCATTAATTAATGTCTACCAAGGATACAGATGTAAAAACAAAGGACCGAATAGTTACTAACCGTACACTCATTTTATTAATGTTTTAATACTCTGAAGTTAATTTTTAAAAGCTTGTGTTTAGTCAGCATTACATTGATCCACAGAAAGCTACCTTTTTTTCCTTAAGATTAGTCCTAAAAACTCTACTTTCAAAATTCTTACATCATATATGTTTACATATACATGTATACAAAGTACAAAAGACTGTGCTTCGTTAACTCTGCTTACTTTTTATATTTGAGTATAAACCATGTGGTGATGTAATCTCACTGTTTATATCGATACTACATCAAGACTGGCAACACATAAAATTTTCAGGGAACACCCATTTAGTGGATCAAAAAGTGTTTTATATAATGTGTAGGAAGCAGGGCTACATTTTTAAGTTCAGTACAGTAGTCTCCCCTTATTCAGAGGGGATATGTTCCAACATCCCCAGTGGATGCCGGAAACCATGGATAGTACTGAACCCTATATATATTCCTATATAGACTATGTTTTTCCTACATTAATGGCTGGGTGTTGTATACAGTGTGGGTATCTAGAGAAAGGGATGATTCACATCCTGGGAAGGACTGAGCAGGATGGCACAAGATTTCATCATGTTACTCAGAACAGCTGCACAATTTAAAGCTTATTTCTGGAATTTATTTCTGGAATTTTCCATTTAATATTTTTTAACCGCAGTTGACCTCAGGTAATTAGCACTGTGGAAAGCAAAACTGCAGTTAAGAGGGGGACTACTGTAAATCCACAACCTCAGATTGATCAACTACAGAAAGAACATTCTACTCTCTACCTAAGAAGAAGGAAATGCTTGAAGTCCCATCGTGAATGCTCACCACAGGGGAAAATCTCAAGTTAACATTCCCCCTTCGGGGCCAGGAAAGGCACTGGTCTTAAGGCAGGAATGAAGAAGTGGCGAGGAAGCACCTACCTGAAAGCGGGTTCTCTCGCTGGCGTACTTCTGGTAGTGCAGCATGGCCTGCAGAACCTTCTTGTGGCCCCCGGGAACCAGGCACACAGCGCCCAAGATTTCCAGCACAGCCACCTTCGTCTTAATGTTCTCTGTGCTCAGACTCTGAGCAATTACATTAATACTCTCAGAATGAGCCAGGACGTGAGCCCGACCTTGAGAGTTGTTCATTAGCGCCTTTATACATCCAATGAGAGAGGTATGTATTCGAGACTCTGAGGTCTCGTAGTCCATGGTCTTTAGAAAGTTGAGAATACATGACAGGCCGTCCAAGTCAATGAATCGGGTTACAAACCTGTCACGAGGAGAAGGTTAAAATGTATCAGACTTAAGTCTTTTTGGAATATTTTAATAGCCCTTAACAGAAAGGTTTAGGGGGCTGGTGGGCAGGAGAAAGTAAGAAGATGTAGTTCCTAAAGTACCCAAAGGCTTACATGAAGTCTTCTTAATTGGAGGCCTCCTCCTTGGCCCAGACCCAATGGTCAGGTCTAACCAGAAGTGTGAAAAAAATCTCCAATTGAGTTAAAAAGAACTTAACCGATATGAATAACCAATGAACAGATCTTATAACCACAGAAAACCAGGAACAAGAAGACATTCAGAATATTCACCTTAGGTTAAAGTCATCTGCTGATCCTGTGTTATGATAGCATCCAGTCCTCATGCATGTTTAAGTGTTGACCACTGACCCAGGCATGCCCCATACCAATGAAAAGTCAAAGACCATCCTTAAACTCCAGGATATTTACTTGCCAAACAAATGATAATCTATCTCCTTAGTTTTATAGCAAAAACCTTCTTTTGTATGGCATGCTATATGGAATCCCAATATATAAAACAAATAAAGGCAATACTTTATTACTGTACATTAATTTTTTGATATTTATAGCACTTATTTAACTGTAAAGTCAATCAATGAGAATAATTCACAATACACATCTGTAGGTTAAGCCTCTGAAAAGTTCAAAAGTAACATAACCTGTTGATGTGACTACTCCAGAAATTTCCAAACTTATTTAGCCTTGGATAACCATTAACATCTGAGAATGCAGAACACACATAGAGAGGGAAACACTGATCTTGTTAGGATAGATTAGAAAACTTTTGATATACTACTGTATATGATTTTTGAGGAATCAGTACATTTTTTCCTAGCATTTTATAGTCAAATATAGGGAATTTTATTTCTCAGCTATTTCATCCAACCTCATCACCCAGACCTAGCCAAGCTTCATTCGTAGCACTAGTGCTGATGAAATGCACCTGTAAGCACCCCCATATCCCACCAAACCTTAGAGGATTAATGGAAAATGAACGTGTGGGAGGCACACAGTAGAAGCTGATTGCTCATCCATTTCTTTTACAACCGTTTTATTGAGATATGACGCACATGCCATAAAATTCATACTTTCAAATGTGTAATTCAGTGATTTTTAATATATTCACAGAGTTGTGCAACCATGGTCACTATCTGATTTTAGAACACTTTAATTATCCCCAAAAGACCATTTTCCTCTCTCCCTAACCCCAGGCAACCACTTATCTTTCTGTCTCTATGGATTGGCCTTTCCTGGATATTTCATATAAATGGAATCACACAATACGTGGTCCCTTGTGTCTGGCTTCTTTCGCTTTGCATAAATATTTTCAAGGCTCATCCATGTCGTAGCACGTATCAGTCCTCCATTCCGTTTTAGGGTTGAAAAATATTCTGTTTTATGGATATGTTACATTTTATTTATCAATTGATCAGTTGATAGAATTTAGGTGTTTCCAATTTCTGGCTATTATAAATAATGCTAATATTCGCACACAAGGTTTTAGGGACATGTTTTCATTTCCCTTGGGCTATATATCGAGAAGTAGAATTGTTGGCTCATATGGCAACACTATGTTTAATATTCTGCGGAAATGTCCAACTATTTTCCAAAATGGTTGCACCATTTTACATTCCCCCCAGCGATGAATGAGGGTTACAATCTCTCCACATCTGCACCAACACTTATTAGTTTCTGCCTTTTTGTATTTTAGCCACCTTCATGGATGTCTGCATATCTTTTAACCGAAGAAAAACAATTTATTGAATGTTCAATGATTAAAGTATTTCATCCACGGTTCAATTACATGTTTTTAATTTAAGACTTCCTCAAGAGTTTGGCTATTGCAGAAAAATAAAGAAGAAAGGAAGGGAAAAAACAAGGGGAGAAGAAAGTAGAAAAGCAGAAAAAGAAAAGAGACAAGTAGTACACGCTACCCAGTATAAAAATTACCTCATTGGTTTCGTCCTTAGTGCTGTCTTCAAACTCTCTATAGTTTTACTTCTCTCTTCTTCCTCTTCTTTCTCTAAAGCCAGCAGAGATTTTCTCTATGCAAAGAAAACTAAAGTTACTTCTTCAATTTTTGTTTTAATTATAGTACAAGTAAGACAAGCCCACAGATTACATGCTATCACTTTTAATACAAATAATCAATAATAATATGACCAAGATTTACTACAAGCCAAAATGTAGACCAAAAGCGCCAAGAATTCCACAAATTCATTCTCTGTACTACAAGTTACTTCTTTTGAATTTAAGTAAAGTTTTAAGAAAATGTTGAGAAATCTTAGTAGAGATTAAGTTGTCCAAACACTTGTGTAACTATTCTATAACTATACTCTGATGAAGGTATTACTATTTATTTGATAGAAAAGGGAAGATTAGACCTATAGTTAAATATAACAATCTGACAATTGAAGTTAACATTATCACACTATCAAAGAGAGGCAGGCAGCAATCTTTCCATGCTCCCTCTTCCATTTCTCAGTCAAAAAGTGTAATCTTAAAAAGAAAAGTGTAATTTTTTACATTTTTTGTTACATCCAATTATTTTTTAAGAGGAACGATTAAATTGGACCTGATACAAAGATAGACAATTCCTTTGGAGTAAATGCTTAAGTTTTAGAAATGATTAAGGTTCATAGACTTGTTGAAAAGTCTTTTCCATTCCTTTTATGCCACGATCACCTAAATGTACTAAAAGTATCGCCAAGTCTTATGGCCCCAGGTGCTTCTACCCCACGGAACCACGGGTCCCTTGCCTTCCTCCTACTCTTAACATGTGCTTGTCCAGTCTCAGTCTTTTTACTTGTTACCCATTCTGACAAAATGCATGGTTGGGAGACAGATTGGGGTACAGAAAAAAACATCTGGCTCTTATCCACGTGTCTCAATGGTCCAGTCTCTCCCTTTCTTTCAGGTCCACACATCATCAAGGGGTGACTTTACTTAATTTTTTTCAAGTTAACAGTACAAGCATTAAGTAACTAAATGCTAACAAAAACCTAAATTTGACTTCACACTTAGGATGGTGAAGCCCAAAGCAAACATATATCAGTATCATTTATGGCAAGTGGAATAAAAATCAGTAAAGTCTTGTTTTGTAAACTTGAATTGTTTCTGCTAAAGCTGCCCTCTTGCTGGTGATGCGCCCGGACAGCTGTCACCAGAGGATGGTAGGGGAAGAGGCTGCATGCAGAAATAGCCAATGAATTTCTTCACAGCTCCGTGAGACCCATATCCTGGAAAATTGAGCACAAATCCAGCCAAGTACATTTAATCTCCTGTGGCACAGCTGAACTTGTTCAGACGCTTAAGCAATCACTTTGAATCTGCAGCCCAGAATCAAGACTTTTATGAACATCACTTCTTGTTCCTAAGCTTAGTCACCCAAACCTCCCAAATTAAAACTACACACGTTTCTTATTGTGGTTCATTAATACTAAATAAAGATGCATATATTTATCCTTTTAACAATCTTGGAGAGGGTGTAACCTCCAAATAAAGGCAGACTACATAAAGATTCTTCCTAGCAGAGTTAGGAGATTTATGAAAAGTCAAGAAAGTTAAATTGGAATTTCCTTCCCCAATATAAGGACTATTACTTTCCTCTCAAAACAGAAGACAGTATACTCTTCTCTGTGTGTAGTACAATGAGAATTGAATCTAAGATTGTTTATTGTATTGAGAAAGTCGAGGTTACGGAGATGAACCTGACATTCTAATGTGACTTTTCGAAATAGAATAATTTATGTGGAGTCTCAAGTTTTCAAGCTTCACATTTATGGAGAAGTCTAAATTTGCAGCTTTTCGACAGAAAAGGGGATCTGCCTACATTTCTGAAGACGGCTGCTAGGCCAGACATCCAGTATGCACCTTGCCATACACTGGACTGGCTTGTGGCGGCCTCCTTGGGTGCTCTATGCACTTACTAAAGCCCTGTTCACATGAGGAGTGGGCAAAGGACGAAGTGCATCCTAGCAGAGGATCTTCCAGTCAAAGCTGCTAAGGTTTACACTGGAACATGCAGGGCCGAGAGAGATGCGCAAACCAGGCACAGAAATCATTCCTGGTATGGAGTCTGGAACTAAGTAAGCTCCTGTTTGAAATATCTCATTGGTGTGAAATCAATAAGCCAACCCGCTAAGCACACTGAACTTCACCTCACATCCTTGCTCCCTGAGACTGCACGCAGAAGCCACACACCAAGAAAGCCCAGGTCCCTCTGGAACACGCACTCTTTTATTATATTGTTTTTCACTCATTAAAAGCCAGCAGATCACTCAGGGGTCCTTTAAAGAACAAAGCATTCTTGTTATGAAGCTTCCGCAAAGTAACTGAACTTGTTCCACAAAGGGCTTCACAGACCAGTAAGCGCTGCGGTTCTCAACCTGGACTGCTTATCAGACTCTCCAGATGCTTGTCCCACCTCAGAAAAGCTGGGGGTGGAGGCGGGGGGTGGGGGTGGGGTGGGATTACCAGGCCTCTTTCACGTGCCAAAGGATTTAAAAAACTGAGTTAGTGAGAGGCAAACTGGAAAGGAGTCTCTGAGTTTAGACTGATAGGTTTAAATTCCAGCTCTACCACTTCCAAATGAGATGACCTTGGGCAAGGTAACCTTTCTCTGAGTCTCAGACTCCTTATCTATAAATAGCACTTAGAGGATAGGGTGCTTGTAAGGATTTAAAACAGCATGTAAAGTGCCTGTTACATGAGGCACACTCAACAGCAGTAGCCGCTACTGATGCTGAAGACAGTGGATGATGAAAATGTGGATAACCCCCCCTTCGACAATTCCCAAAGCAGACAGCCAAAGAGCTTAGCTGCCAGGCCAGGAAAGGATCTGGAGGAGTCATGTGCCTTTCCAGTCCCCAGGGATAATGTCTTAGGATTTCTGCTGTGTGCTGCCAGGAATTCTCCAGAGAGATTGGCTAGAACTATGGGAGGATGTGGTGGCCACAGAGAGGGTGAAAAAACCAGAAAACTCAGCCTAGAGTTTCTGGTCTCATCAGGCCTCCTTGCTCCTTTACAGATGCAAGAGTGGTGAGGCCTCATTATTTCATCACCTGTTGTAATGGCTTCTACCCTTAACCCTGGAACGATGCTGGCTCTGTCCTTCAAGCATTAGAAAGCTTTGTGAGGTGTTTAACCCATAAAGAAGAGCAAAGTGACAATTTAAGAGCCTGGAAATGATACTCTTAGAGAGGGCTTTCGATTAGGAAGCACATATAATTAAAATGTAGATGACTCATGAATGTAGCAAAAGGTTGTCCAAGGAGCTAGATGAAGGAGAAGGGAGGCTCTTGAAGAAGTGTCACATACCAGCACATCACACACCCTCTAGGGCAGGAAACGAGTCAGGCTGAATCCAGAAAAGGCATGGAGTAAGTCACTAAAGGACAAATTAACCTAACTGTCCCAAAATTTGAAGAAAGGAAAAATCCATGTTATTTAGTACTTCTCCATTGATAGAAGTGAATTCATTAACAAAGGAGCAACTTCCCTTGTTAGACATCAAATAAGGCTGACTTAATTAGAAAGAGAGACAGCCTGCCTGACCGCTTGTTTTTACCCTAACAGCCAAGAACAAGAATTCAGAAAATAGGGACTTCCCCGGTGGCGCAGAGGTTAAGAATCCACCTGCCAATGCAGGGGACATGGGTTTGATCCCTGGTCTGGGAAGATCCCACGTGCCGCGGAGTAACTAAGCCTGTGCACCACAACTATTGAGCCTGCGCTCTAGAGCCCGCGAGCCACAACTACTGAAGCCCACACTCCACAACTGCTGAAGCCCGCATGCCTAGAGCCCACGCTCTGCAACAAGAGAAGCCACTGCAATGAGAAGCCCACGCACCACAACGAAGAGTAGCCCCTGCTCACCACAACTAGAGAAAGCCGGCGCACAGCAATGAAGACCCAACACAGCCAAAAATAAATAAATTTTTTTAAAAAATTCAGAAAATAACCTTTATGTGCAGGAATTGTAAATGACTCTATATTATAATTGCTTCGGCGGATGTAGAAAAATCCCTGATGGTTATCACAAGACTCATGTTCTGATAACATATTCATACAAATGCTGAGATCACTCTTTTCTCATCTTTGCTGTTGTGTAGAATGCCTGTTATAAGGACTTGGTGGTTATTTTCTGTTCTTTTCTGCTGTGCTTTTAGAGAAACCCTTGGGGCAAAAGCTTATGCAGTTTCTTCTATAATTTATACAGCCCTGTTTACCATGGTGCTTATTATTCATCATGTGACAGCAGAAGCAGCATCTTCAAAGAAAAAGCTAGAAAAGAGGAAGTTACTAAAAGTCAAGGCCTCTGAAAATTTAGCAAAAGTGTGAATGATTCACATATAGTAGTCAGTTTTTAACTGTTGCAGCAGCAGCAAAATATTAGACAATCTAGAATGTTTGTTCTAAGTGACAAGAAATGAATTCTCCACAAGGGCTCTGTGGATGGCAGGAAAAGGAGAGGTAGAGAAAGTATTATGGAAGCTATCATCTGCTTGAATATAATAAACTCAAAGTTAAGCCTAACAGATTAACTCTTAAAATCGTGTGTCCACGGAGGCAAAGACTGCTCTCCTGTGAGCAGCCTCCAAGCTTTATCAATGTGAACAAGATTCAGCCTATTAAGGCTCGAATGTTGATGACATGTTTTCTGCTGTGTATTTTTGCTGGATCGACAGACGCCCCTAAGCAGCTCAAAACTCTGACATCACAGAGACATCTATGTGATCAGAATGCATTATTTTAGACACTGAGAATGCATTTTCATCAATTACTGAACCAAAAATCCACATACTGAAGATTTCCCAAGGATATCTCAGCATTATCATTATTATGCCTTGCCACTAAACCACGTATTCCATGAAATTTTTTCTTATTTGTACGAGTAAAAGAGTACCTTCGTACCCTCTAAGATCAAGAACCCAGGAACTAAGTCCTCCGTTTAAAAAAAAAAAAAAGGATGAGAACAGTGAAGGGATAGTTTCATTGTACTATTCTTAAATAGTATTAACTTTTAGAATGGTGCTGCCCTATCAAAGTTCCAAATGATTGGTAGGAACAATTGCAAGTTAAAGTTGAACAGAGGCCAGATTTATGATTACATTTCCTCTAATAACATTAAACTCACTTATATTTTAGTATGTGCTGATTTTATTTAAAACATACTGGAAAAAAATCATTTTGCCAAATACCACTCCTGCCTCCCCTTTCTCCCCAACACTGAGCGTTTGGAATAGAGTTTGGAAAGATAATGACATTTGGTGGTTCTTACTCAAGTGAATACTTATTGTGCAACTGTGCGCTTTGTACTAAACTTGCATTTTAAACTGTGAGTTGAAGAACAGAAAGGATACCTACAGCAGCCATGGAATTGAGCTGATCAATGTAGAATTCAGGCCAACTTGTTGCTCCCTTGTTTTCTTCCTGGTCCTAAAGAGAAAGAAAAAAAAAGTGATATACCACCAGATGTATATACACAACAGCCACAAGCACATCTGACTTCCAGAGCCTCTAGACAATGGCCCACACAAACCATTAGAAGACACTGAGATACAAGATATTTGTCTTTTAATGTTAGCTTTAAATCATCAGACTGTCCCCTTGATCAGGGTGGTCTTCCTGATCCAATTTCCACAGAGAGTGCTGAAGTCAGAATTAGGTGTGACAAAGGGGACATTTTCTGAACCAGCGTTCAAGGGGAGTTGACATGGGAACTTAGCCACACATGGTATGATGCTGTTTTCCTTCAGGGGCGCAATAACATTGGGAAGGGCTCTGTGTTTGTTGCAAGGACAAAGGATCTCTAGGTACTGTGTCGCACTGAGGACGGTATTGCTGCACTACACGTCTGGATGAAGTCCACAAAAGAGGAAAAGCTGCCTTTAACCATGACCACAGGGGGATTCCCTGGCAGCGCAGTGGTTAAGAATCCGCCCACCAATGCAGGGGACACGGGTTCGAGCCCTGGTCCGGGAAGATCCCACATGCCGCAGAGCAACTAAGCCCGTGTGCCACAACTACTGAGCCTGCACTCTAGAGCCCGCGAGCCACAACTACTGAGCCAGCGTGCTATAACTACTGAAGCCCGCGCGCCTAGAGCCTGTGCTCCGCAACAAGAGAAGCCACCGCAATGAGAAGCCTGTGCACCACAACGAAGAGTTGCCCCCGCTCGCCACAACTAGAGAAAGCCCGTGCACACCAACGAAGACCCAATGCAGCCAAAAATAAATAAATAAATAAATTTAAAAATGACCACTGGACTTGGCCAATTGTCAACTGGACTTTTTTCCATTAGTTTGTTCAGACTCCAGCAGACAGTAAAAATTTTGAAGAAAGGTCTCATTTGATGTGACCAAAAGTAGATGATACTGCTTCAGATGAGGAGGTAACATAAAGCCCGACATTGGATGGAAGGTAACAGAAAGAACATACATTAGTCCCAAGTCCAGCCCTCATGCCATGACAGCTTGAGAAAATGTAACATACCTGAACTGAAGAGAACTGAAACCCAAGGAATTCAGGGACCCATTCCTAAACCGCTCCAGTCAATCCTGCATCTTACAAATCAGGGTGACTTGAAGCCAGCACCAGAGCCCCCAGAGCTTCTGTGGATGGGCGCTCTGTGCCAGCCTGAGCTCACACCTCCCCCTCAAATCAGGTGGCTGTGGCCTCTGCTCCATTGGAGCATTGAGTCCACTTGAAGATGGCATTGTGGTGGGAGATTTCCATGCATGTTTGCAAACCTGTGTGGCTCCAAGTCATTTGTGTGACCAAACAAACTTGAAGGGGAAAATTTCAGCTCTTCTCTAGCTTCACATTCAGAGAACACCTTAGTATAATCGGCATCTCCTGTCCCCTTGGAGAAGAGCTGGGCCAGGTACACAGAGCTGCTACCGGACAATGAAGTAGTTACTACCTATTTACTACGTCAGGATCCCCATCCTTGGGATACCGGCTTCAAGGTAGGGCTATTAATTTCAGTCCTACACTCTACCTAAAAGAAGAGAAACAAACTTTCTCTAAACAAATCTTTCTAGGCAGGTCTACTCTAGTGAGATAAAAGAAACAATTTCAAAACTAGTCTTTAAGTAGCCAGGAAAAGGGGGCAAAGTAACTGTTGCTTACAGTGCCTTGAAAGCTGGCAGTAACTGATATCTGAACTCAGGGAGTTGCATGAATTTCATCTGGAGACTGAACATCCCAGATCATGGGGACAAAGGCTAGAGCAGCAGCTTTGAAGTTGGACTGGATTACACTTCCATGGCTTTAAAAAGCTTAGGAAATCTGATGAGTTTTTAGAACAGCCCCTGATTATTATTTAACATGTTAATAAAATAGCTACAATGGTAGCGTAAATGCTGAACACTTCTCTCCTATTAAAATGGAGTATTAAAGTTTGCAAAACCCCATTGTTACCAATGTTTTCAGCAAGCCAAAACCCACAGTGATATTCAATGGTATTTGAACCTATAAAATGAAATAGAAGGTGCCAGATCTTTCTAGTCCCTCAATCTAGGGCAAATTTCCAAAATTACGACAAAATCACATCCCATGTCTGGGGTCCCATGAGAGCCTGCTGTAAGCTATTAAGTCCTGGTTACTGAAAAGAGATCATTTTAGAAGCTTAAGATTAGTATACAGAGAGAAATCTCTACACTCTGAAAATGCTTTTAAAATAATGTAAACAGATTAAGAGTAGATCTAGATACTGCAGTCAAAATAAGGGGAAGAAAGCTTCATTTTTATTTTACATGCCCCCAGTGCTGAGAAAATAAAATGAGCTAACATACGTGAAAGCTTCTCGTAAAAATACTAAGTGTTATCACTACATCCCTGAGGGCGGGAGGTACTCCTCAGAGTTCTTCATTTTAGCAGTGTATTTCCCTGGTCCTTCTATACAGATGTGTGCTACAGTAGCCAAGAGAAGCTCATCCCTGTGAACCAAATCTCCCCCTCCTTTGTGTGGCTTCTGGAGTCTGCAGTGATACACAGACACAGGCCAGAAGGATCTGAACGCAATTGTTCTCCGAGGTCCCCGAAAGAGCACTGGACACAGAGACTTGCCAAGGGGGAGACTTTCTCCTAAAAAGTCCATGAAAGAGATCACTGATGGAAGGGTAACATGTATAATATTCCTGGAAGGGTGGGTCCTCTGTATTACTAACCTCAAACACGTATTATTCTTTGAGTCATCTGTCTTGGTTCTATTTACTTGTTCTAGAGAAACAAGTGGAAAAATACACAAGCTTGTATAAACTGTACTACTGTAGTTGTAATAGAAGCAACTGTAATATCCAGCACATACAGAGCTTACCATGCATCAAACGCTGTTCTACTCACTGCGCTCTTCATTTAATTTACCCTGTGAGGTAGATGCTGTCATTATACTCATTTTACCGAAGAGGAAACAGAAGTAAAGGGAGGACAGATGCGTTGCTAAAGGTCATCCTGCTGGAAATTCAGAGGCAGTGGGAAAGAATCATGGCAACCTCTTTCCTAAGATTAGACCTCAGGTTAACCACAAGCAATACACATTGAGTGCAAAGCTGGCTTTTCACTCTTCACCACTTCACTATAAGAGACTCAAACATGGTTAGCGGCCAAAAATGAGTTCACCTCTCCCTAAACCCTTAGTGCTACTTTTGCTACATTCAACATTTCTGAATATTATTCTAAGGCCTGATGTCTTACCCGGGCTACCTCTGAACCCTCTCTCTAGACTTTCTGTGGGAACTCTTCTGCCCCTCTATCAACACCTCATCTATCGTTGTAATGTGTGCATGCAGACAGTACTTAAGAAGCTTTTCCCTAACTTGTTCTCCCGTTCTGTTATACAGGTCATGTTATCGGCTGTCTTCATGGGGATTTCTCAAGAGCCCCTGAAGATGAGCCCATAGCACTGACCAGCTGTGGACACTGAAATTGTAAACAAAACCCTCACTAAACCGTACCCCTCTAACCCTACTTTTGGCTACCTATTTCAGTGATTCCATTAGAACTTTTCTCTAATAAGCAAGAATACTGCCTTCATTCTGTTCTTTTAAAAAGTTGCTTTTCCCCTCTCTTTTAAAACAGATTGTAGGTAACCCTTAAAGACACCTAGAGAAGGTTGTCCTATGGGAATACAAGTTCTAGCAATCACATTAAATGCTCTTTTCGTTCTACCTACAGAATGGATAATTCATATTAATATCTAGTTTTGTTTCTTCTTGAAATGTAATAAGCATTTAAGATATATGCCTATCTTTAGAGGATCTATTAAATTAATTAGAATTGAATTGATATAAACATTTTATGTTATTAAATTCTCCACTGATAACTGGTTTTTGAGAATATGTGCAAACATCACTTATATTCAGAGAGATGGTATGATGGAAAAATGACCAGATAGGCCATGCAAAGATGAGGTTCCAGAACTTACTTGTTGGTTTATTCAATCAGCATCTCTTGCTAAGCTTGAATATCTTTGGGCCTTGTTTTTCTTCTGTTCAAAACAAGAGGTGAGACTAGACCATTTCTAAAGTCCCTACAAGCTCTAAGAGTCTACAAGCCTCTAATAGTGAGATGCCATGGAAAACACAGTTTGTTACTATATTTAGTTTGAGGGCCCAATTTTTAAAATCAGTAATTAAAAAAAAAATTATGTTGTTCAGTGACTAAGTTACAAAACCCTTAACTTTCAACAGCTAATTCCTTGACAAGGTAATTAGAGGGGGAAAAAAACTCCTCAACGTTAATTATTTTATTATTTGTCTAATCCAACTCATCCTGTTTTCTTAGGAGCTTGATAGTCGTCAATAAGAGAGTATTCATGGACAAAATTTCCTGCTGGATGGGCACTTTGACACTGCCTTTGCTTTCAACCTGCACTGACTACAGCTTTAACCTCTTTTCTTGGTTTTCCACTTTGCTCCTACAATCTCAAACTCTGAAAAAACAACAAAACAAAAAAACTCTTTGCTAGTAAAGGGAACTTGTACAGTGCAAGGGACCTTCAAGAACATTGATTTTTTTTTTTTTTTTTTTGTCTTTTTAGATCAGGTTCTAATCAACCAACTCATTTAGAAGGTTAAGAAATACATAGTCTATTTCTAACCTCACTTCATTTCCGACTGACACATTATTCACTCTGTATCTCTGGTCAGTGGCTACTAAAAAAAAAAAATCCAAGAGATCCTCCCCCATTCTCTTTAAATGTTCGACAGTACATTTGTTTTTCTCAGCATCAGTCTGCCCATAAGAATAAATTTTGCATTATTCATTTGTCTGCACTCTTTCTGAAGTAAGCATTCACAGCTATATCCCAGACTTCTGTCTCTCGCTTCACTATCCTCTCTCTATCAATCCAAGCTGACTGTATTCCACTTCTTCTACCACCATCAACAGACAGGCATTTGAATCCTCAGCCACTCGCTACCTTAAGTGACTTC